TTCTCTCTCTCTCTCTCTCTCTCTCTCTCTCTCTCTCTCTCTCTCTCTCTCTCTCTCTTTCTGTCTCTCAAAATCACAAGAGCTCACCGATATTTTTGTACTAACACTCACAGAAATATTTTGACATTACGAACACACACCCTATGCTCAAGTGTGCACACACATACACACACATAAATGAGGACTTACCACTGGCACCCTCCAACCACCCTGCAATATCTCTCGTCACAGGCACGTGGCAGAACATTTCAGCTCGGGACCTTGAGGGCAACCATCTCCAGATTTTTGAGCATCACGACTCGACCACTGGGAAAATTGTGGAGCTGGACTGCTTCGAGATTTTCAACGATGAGGTGAATATTGATCTTTTCTTTTCTGATTTGCTGAGATGTTTTTGTGCTTTTAAATAAAAAAGTGAAAGGAATTAGGATTAAATGTCTAGTACAGAGATCAAGGGGAAGACCACGTGGAACCTGGAGATGAGTCATAGAAATTGATGTACAGAAAAGTGGGAAGACATGGAGTGACATCAAGATGCTAGCCGAGGACAGGGAAAAGTGGAGAGTGTTTGTTCGTGGCCTATACCCTGATCAAGGGTGAGAAAGGCAAAGATGATGATGATGTCTAGTAAAGGTCTCTTTTTTAAAAATAAGTTAACTCCCTATCTACGGCAAGCCGCTATCAGTGGCTCGCTGTCGGAACCGCTGTGCTGGCGAGCTGCTAGCAGAGGCTTGGGCACATTTGTTTAGCCGAACTTAGATGTCAAATTAGTTTTTGATAATTGCCGAAAACTGGTCTCTTTTAATGGCAGTTCACTCATTAGATGAAGAGCTATAGAAATGGGTTCTCTTGTTTTGATTTTATGACCAATTTATTGATGCATGCACGTGTCAACTTTCGATTTTTTGTCAAAAAGGGCCCGGGCATAGTGGGTTTACCCCTCCTCGGAGAGAAAGAGTTAAAATCCTCTATTGCTCATGACGTCATGGCTCCCCCCCTCCCCCCCATGTTGGCTCCACAGAGTGGGGAGACCCCGGATGTGCATATTAGGTCAAGTCAGTTCCGAAGGGAGACCTCAATTAGACCTTTATCAAAATTAGAATAATAGATAAATTAATATATTACGTTTTATTGATCTCATGGGGTAATTTTGGTTACAACGGCAAACATACATACGTAATTAGACATTGTCACGTACATACATAAATGAATAATAAGAAATACAACATGTACATAAACACACAATATTTCTCCAATGCAGAATAATTTCACTTGCATGCCATTGCTGGTTGCTACTGTGCAGCGCCCTGTTTTTTTAGCTAGGGTTGTCGTGTCTTGCTTAAGGACACAGCCCAGTGACCACCCATGTTAACTCTGTGTCACCGACACTTGGGTGACATTACTTGAGTCTGAACTCACTGCTCACTTAGCCACTGGAGCCTCTAGTGTTAGTTCAGCTTATCGAATGAAAAAGGGGGAAAGGGGGAGAGCAAGGTAAAGAGGAGAGAAGTTGGCTCAAGGTAATGAAATGTTGCTTCAGCATTAAATTAACTTAAGACTAAAGTTCTCAAATGTTCCATGCTTGTCGATCTGGTCTTATATTTTCGTAAGTCACTGAAAATGTTCTTTTTTTAGGTGAGTGCCTTTTCCTCTAAAACACAATTCAGTCAAACATGCTCTAACAATCACCTGTCCAAGACAATCACCTGTACAAACAAACCCCCCCCCCCCCCCTTTAACTTTTCCTACATGATGGTGACATATTCCAAGAGGACTGGCTGCCCTAGAGAACCAGAGTTCTCCTTGACGAAGGCTGGATGTCTTAACTCTTTATCTCAGAGGGGGCTAAACCCACTATGCTGGGGCCCTTTTTTGGTGCTAAATCTAAAAATGACGAAAACGTCATTAAATGGGTAATAAAATCGAGACTAGCAAACCTATTTTGATAGTTCTTCATCTAATGAATGAATTTCCGGTATAAGAGAACTGTTTTAGGTGTCACAAGTCGTCGTAAAGGAATGTGCCCAAGCCGGCTCACCGGCAGAGGGGTTCCAACCGCGAGCCGCTGGGAACGGCTTGCTGGAGATAAAGAGTGAAACAGGTTCAACTGTATATGAATGCAACCTTTTAGCTTCAATTGAAAAAAAAAAAGAGAAAGATGAATTGTCTCCAAACTTCAATTTAACCCAGTATAATTTATCGTGGCTTTATTTCTTGTACCAGATCTGGGCCGGCTGTCGTCGGGAGGGGCTCCTAGTCATATGGAACGAGAAAAGCACCAAGCTGAAGACGACCTTGAAACCCGACTGCCGTGGAGTGAGCATCATACTGCCATTTGGGGACAAGGTGAGAGGGTTCGGGCTGAGTATCGCTGGTTTATTAAAAGAAGAGGTTGGCCCTTTTACACTCCAGTTTATATATTGTATATATAGTTACTTTTAAGGACAAGCGGGCTAACCCAGATTTTGGGGGTTTCCAGAAATCTTGACCTACACCATAAATGGGCATCGCCCTACCTATAGGAGCAGTTTGGTTTCATTCATGTGTATATTTGTTTAGTCACATAGAAAACTCTCCTTGTTTTTTAAAGAAACTGAATGAGGGGCAAAATCTTTACCTTCGATTTTTCGGGATAGCCCCATTGTGCTTAAAAGTGACCATATATACACAGTGTAATCAGGCGCTCATCAATTATTAGGCATATGGAGTTACTGGTGTTGTCTGAAATCTTTTTCGTTTGTCTTGCTATTGTTGTAAAATAAAAATCCTCATCTATCTCGAATAGAAGTCAAGTTATTTGTGTCACGACGCGATGGAATCAGGCGCTCGTCAATTTTGAGGCATGTAGAGTTATTGATATCATCTTAAAGCTTGTTCATTTGTCTTGCATTTGGCGAACAAAATACTCCTCTATCTTAAATTGAAGTTCAGAAATTTGCAATTGAAGGTGGTATGAGAGGTAAAACTAGCGAGAAAATGGCCAGCCAAAGTGTGGTGACTTCTAAAGCTTGAGAGTCCTTGGAAACTGGAAATTTACATGTTTCGTGCCTTTAACTGATTCCTTCCATTTGACCGCTGACAGCGGCTCTAAGTTTTTCCGCTGCCTCCATTCGACCGCTGTGAGCGGCTCAACGAAATCCGAAACAAATGTGCATTTTTTAACATAGTTCCTACTTTTTAAGTTGTCGAAAGGAAGTAGAACTTGTAAACAAACCTGACCTCAATCTCTGAGCGCCACTATCGATCGAAACTCTGCGATATTCTTGCAAAAATCGCTGTTTTGTTGTCACTATGTAGGCTTGATCTAAGGGTAAACAACACGGAGCCTGGTATAATAAAAAAGGCCCTTCAAAGAAAGATATTCAACTAAATTTGTGAAATTCTTGCATAAATGTGTGCTAGGGTGATATCGCTACAATTTTGTGTTGATTCCTATGGATTATAAGGACTTGTACAGCTGAGAAAACGCAGTAAGTCAAAATTTTCAAAGAGGTGTTGCACAATATTTTTTTCTCATTCGTTTTTGTCTGAAGGAAAACGCAATACAAACAGATTGTAGGTCATTGTTATTGATATAAACAGATTCCTCTATTGATTCCCATCAGTATGGTATATGACAATACATATTAGAATAACTTAGAGCTTCACAGTAATGCATTAAATAGATGCACTCCAGGACTAAAAGTGAACAGGGAAAAATCATTCTGTCCAGAGCCTGAAAAAATCATGGACGGAATCAGTTAATGAACGTTTTTCGGTAACATGTCTTCACACGCAAAAGACCTGAGTTCAATTACACAGAGTGGGGAGGAAATTTTTATAGAGTATCTCAGTTTTTCTGCTGGGATGCTGTATTCCTCTCAGCCTAGATTAGCCCTGACAGGCAGGGTGGAAAGTCTACCTCCTAAATAATCTGAATTGTGTGGATGGGAATGTAGAAGCACCTCCTCATCATCATCATCATTGCCTTTCTCACCCTGCACCAGGGTATAGGCCAGGGACAAACACCTTCCACCTTTCTCTATCCTGGGCTAGCCTCTTGATGTTATTCCATGTCTTCCCACTTTTCTGTACATCGATTTCTGTGATTCTTCTCCAGGTTCCTACATGTAAGGAAACAAAATATTTTTTATAGAACAAGAGAACGAAAATGTCATAAAAATGAAAGACTTTTTCAAGCCTTCAGATGCATTAACAGACATGAATTTTTGAAAGGTTACGCTGTTTGTTGTACATTTTCACCACCGTTTTTGTTTTTTCCCCCCACGTCAGGTATGGGTGGGGACCAAAGACGGGACCATCTATATTTTCAACGCTCACACCAAGCAGCTGTGGAAGACGATCAAAGCTCACGACGATGCCGTGCGCTCTCTGTGTGCCGCTGAGTCTCGCTACATCATGTCGGGCTCCGGCTCCAAGGACGGGAAAGTCGCCATCTGGAGTCCCAATCTGGAGAACGGAGATACGGAAGGTTGTTTGAGTAGTGAATAATTTTGAGAACGGAGATACGGAGGGCGGTTTGAGTAGTGAGTAATCTGGAGTATGGAGGTACAGAATACAGAAGGAGGTTTAAGTAGTGAGTAATCTGGAGAATGGAGGTACAGAATACAGAAGGAGGTTTGAATAGTGAATAATCTGGAGAATGGAGGTACAGAATACAGAAGTCGGTGTTAGTAGTGAATAATCTGGAGAATGGAGGTACAGAATACAGAAGGCGGTTTTGAGTAGTGAATAATCTTGAGAATGGAAGTGCGGAAGGAGGTTTTAGTAATGAATAATCTGGAGAATGGAGAAACGGAGGGCGATTTGGGTCGTGAGTAATCTTCCTCAGAGTGGGCTTATTTTTTGTTTGTTTGTTTGGGTGAAGAGAAACGGATGGACAGGATAACAGGCATTTAGTGCAAGGGAAAAGTATAAAAGACAAACAGAAATGATAGAGGGAAAGAAGAGAAAACAGATCAGCCAGTGGCACCCTCCAACCACCCACAATGTAGTTTTTATGAATGCCCTTTCGGCTCATGGAAGACACTGTTAGTGATATGTGACTTTTTGTACAAATGCCTTTCACCAATGCCTTGATTTTTAAACGATGTGTTCACAAATGTCTGATCTCTGTCAAGACACTTCAGAAGTAAGTGCCTTAATTTTTTATATGCGTGTAAAAATCTTTATTGTTACTAAGGACATTTTTACAAATGTCTTAACCCGGGTGCCAATTTTTCCAGATAAATCCCTAAATCCGGATTTCTGAAATTGTCATAATTTTTGCCTGCCCTCAAGCTGACTTTGTAAGAAATAGTCTTGATCCAGGAAGTATCTGACAATGTGATCCGTAAATTTTGAGTCCCCACGCTCGCGTTTCCATAGGATCCGAAAAGTTCCGGATTTTTTTGGGGCAGTTAATTGGCACCTCTGTTAAGTAAACTATTTGAGATGTGTTCTTTATTATACGAGCATAAATTTGTTTTTGTTTGTAAGTGAACGGAGGTTGCAATAGACAAGAATTACCAGGTATCTCTATCATTTTATATTTTGGGGATTTCTTCCAGAATTCTTTTTTTTTTAAACCCTGTGTTCTGCAAGTTGGCATTTCTGTCATGAAATGTGGAAATTCTCTGTTTAAGTTTCTTGCTTTTTGGAAAGATGTTACTTTCATGAATAGAAGGCCTTTGTCCCACAGGAACTAGATTTTTGGCCAGTATCATACTTATTTTGTTGTTGTTATCGCGATATCACTCACAGTGGGTGGCAATTTGATGCATGCGATGACCAACTGATCACTTATTTTTGTGAGTGGTAGGCTGTGGGATGACCTACTGATGACTTGTTTTTGTTTGTGGTAGGGTGTGGGATGACCAACTGACCACTTGTTTTTGTTTGTGGTAATGTGTGGGATGACCAACTGACCACTTGTTTTTGTTTGTGGTAGTGTGTGGGATGACCAACTGACCACTTGTTATTGTTATTGTTAGTGTGTGGGATGAGCAACTGACCACTTGTTATTGTTAGTGTGTGGGATGACCAACTGACCACTTGTTATTGTTTGTGGTAGGGTGTGGGATGACCAACTGACCACTTGTTATTGTTTGTGGTAGGCTGTGGGATGAGCAACTGACCACTTGTTATTGTTAGTGTGTGGGATAACCAACTGACCACTTGTTATTGTTAGTGTGTGGGATGACCAACTGATCACTTGTTATTGTTAGTGTGTGGGATGACCAACTGATGACTTGTTATTGTAAGTGTGTGGGATGACCAACTGACCACTTGTTATTGTTAGTGTGTGGGATAACCAACTGACCACTTGTTATTGTTAGTGTGTGGGATGACCAACTGATCACTTGTTATTGTTAGTGTGTGGGATGACCAACTGACCACTTGTTATTGTTTGTGGTAGGGTGTGGGATGACCAACTGACCACTTGTTATTGTTAGTGTGTGGGATGAGCAACTGACCACTTGTTATTGTTTGTGGTAGGGTGTGGGATGACCAACTGACCACTTGTTATTGTTTGTGGTAGGGTGTGGGATGACCTACTTTCGTTTACTCTTCCCACCGTTTTTGTTCCTGTCATGAAGTCAGGTCGATAGTAGTGAGTTCAAAGTACAGTTTTATATCATGTGACGCTGTGTTTTGACAATGACGATGACAATCTTTATTCATCTCGCAGGAAGAAACTTGTCTTGGTCGTTTACAATTGCTGGTCCAGATATTTGCGATTGAAGGTGTTGGAATGTCCAAAAGAAAAGTGTCCGATAGTCATAGTGCAATTCCAGCCCTCTTTTGTTGCTGTTTTGATCCTCGTTTTTATCCCTTGTTCTTCGTTTTTGCTCTTGATGTCATTTTCCTGGGTGGGCGTATCTGGATTGTCATGTGTGGACTGGCATGTTCAATGTTTTGTTCATTCAGCCAGGCTGGTTGTTCATGCTCTTCACCAACACGATGCTGCGCTGAACCAATGAATTAAAAACTTCGAGACATCGTGCGCGTCAGAAGTCAGAGATGGTCTCGGACCCATGAATCAGGATCACTCCCACAAATGAAGTTTTGTTTAATCAACTTACAAATCAACCATTTGAACCCTGAGGTCCTGACCCTTATTATACAAGTTTCCCTGGTGTCCTGATTCATAGGATTGCAAAGCGGGTTGGATTCAAACTTGTCGTGGATTATGGACATATAGGGTGTTTTGGGGCACAGAGAACTACAATCCAGATTTCAATATCAGTCTTTCAGGTGCTCAAAGGGTTTTAAAAAGGAGAAGATGTAGTTTTATCTCTACTTTTCCGTAACTTCAATGGGGTAGGGCTGCATTGATTTGTGAGAGTTCCGGGTCTTAGAACTGTTCAGTTTGTTGTAACCTAATGCTGCTTATTCTGTGTACGAGTATGTTTTGAGATCTGGATGACTTGGCACTGACTCAAGGCTCAACGAAACACCCCCCCCCCCCAATAGTTGACTCCACTTGTGTCTAACTCACTTGAGTTGATCTTTGGTTAAGTCGGATCTTTTTCTCGGGTCCCAGCACCTCTTTTTTTTTTTCTTTTTTTTTTTTACAAATCCCAAGGATTAAGTTGAACTTAGGATGAGTTGATCTGTTTTTTACTCCCCTGCCGACATCAACTCATCCATCGTCGACTGCGGGCAACATCCCCACCATTCACTCAAATACCGAACTGCCCACTAGTGAGAGAGGTTGTCCCACCCCCCGGGGCAGTGCCACTGACTGAAGTGTCTTTAGGCCATTCCCAAAGGGGGGACATTTCTCGTTCAAGCATAGTAGAATTGTAAATGGGCTGACTCCTGTCACGCTCATAACTTTGCCTGATCTACAACAGGGATCTGCTGCTTTTTCTTTCCTGATCATTTCTATTGTCATTTTCCTCTACTTCTTTTTTATGTTTGTCACTCCCTTGTGACCTGCTATTTTGGGGTGCCTTGATAGTTGAAACAGACCTTGTGCTGTTGAAGCTAGAGAGGTGAACAGTCTAAGTCTGATTCCCTGTAAAGATTTCTCTGTTGACACCCACCCCTTGGCGCTCATATGACTTTATGCAGTTGCGAGTGCCGTAAAACCCTCTACTATAAAAAAAAAAAGAAAAAAAAAGAGAGGTTGTCTAGCTTGGCTAGCACTTTGTGTACAACGTTTAAAGATGGTTGTGAGAGCAAACTGTGCCTTTATACAGTAGATCCAGTATTCCCGTTTATATGCAATACTCTTTTTAACATTGAAGGAAGAAAACTTGTTGCTTTTTAAAACTTTGAATGAAGAAAAGGTACTTTATGGTGTTTTTTTAATTACTCTATGTTTATGATGATCACATTCTTATATTGAACATTCCATAATTTCCAAGGTCTTTAGAAAGTATATTTTTTTTACTATCCTTTTGCTCATGTTTTAAAATAAAATTTGTATCTGTTGGATTTAATGCCCTTGAAAATCAAAATGTTTAGTTTGCACAATCTGATTTATTGCTGTTAACATGTTCATAACGCTTTTTGAAAATCTTTTCTCTTCTTGAAAATGTTTAGCTTGCACAATCTGATACACTGCTATTTTTCTAGTTCATGGTGATTTTTAAAAACAATTTTCATAATCTATTTTTACAAATTTATATGCAGAATATATCGTTGTATGTACTAGATTGGATACTTATTTCTCTGTAATGTTCCGTTTCATCTTCTATTGTGTTCTTTTATCCGACGAGCAACGTTTGGAGAAGCACCGATGGCCTTCGCTGTCTCTAATGGTCTTGTAAAATGGATGCATAATACTTTTTTTGGCAAAGCTTATTAAGTAATGCTATTCATCTTAACTCTTTATCTCCGAGGGGGGTTAACCTATGCTGGGGCCCTTTTTTGGTTCGAAATCGAAAAATGACACATACGTCACTAAATTGGTCATTAAATTGAAAATAAGTGAACCTATTTTGGTACTTTTTCGTCTAATAAATGAACTCCTGATAAAAGAGACCTGTTTTTGGCCCGAAAAGTAATTTGAAGTTGAAGTCGTCACCAGCAGCTCACCAGCACAGCGGTTTCGTCCACGGGCTGCTGGGAGCAGCTTGCCAGAGATAAAGAGTTAAGATAAATCCTTTTGTTTGTCTTGTCAGATGAGAAGCAATTAATTATCAGAATGTTTGCAAAGGAAAAAATTAATGCTAATAAAAATACATGATGTAAAAGTATTCCATCCAGAAATGTGATAATAAATACCTCAAAGATTGCTTGAGAAATTGCGTCTCAGAAAGTAGTTCTGTTCAGATGAACGTGTGGAAATATTCGTCTTTGTGATAATGGATGCGTCAAAAGAAGTTTTCTCTAGATAAAATAAGTAGATAGAGTAGCACAATACTGGCCTACTTACATTTAATGATGCTCATGTTTTAAACTCTCAGTTGCAGTCTTAAAGTAACATTGTCGTTTAGAATTGTGATTCAAATGGCTGTCCACCGGCGACCGTGATTTATTCATGAATGTAGAAAAAAAGTGTTTTCTTTTTTTGTGTTTAGAAAAAGCACTTTGTTTGCAAGGAATAATCTATGCTGTTGTTAGTCAAGTTTTGTGGGGGGGTTTTTTGCTTTTCCCCCCTGAAAATAGCCCCCATTTTGATGAACAAGTGCATTAGTGTTATGGAAAGGTTTGGTTTTTTTTTGAAAGCGTAAAAAAACCACACATTTTATTTGAATGTTGCGAATTATTATGTGATTTTTCTTATCAGTCAATTAATTGAATTGTACTTGTAAGTTCTTTTTTACTTGTGTGTTCAGGAAGTCCCTTGCTCAAATCATGTAGGAGCACAGGGAATGGTTGTTGTTTTTTTTGTTCAAGTGAAACCACACATTTTATGGCAATTACTGTAGACGGTTGCTTAGCTGATATTTATTATCATTGTATGAATTATGTACTGGAATGTTTTTTAAAAAAATCCAACTCCCACCTACTATTAATCAACATGCTATGTGATTGAAAGTATATGTGAGGCAGCGTGGAGAAATCAGGCGCTCGTCAAAATAATGAAAGTCAAGAAACTGGCATTTTGTCGCAGGTTTGGGAATTTTTATCGAATTTTTTGTCTTATTTTTGTTGTTGCGCTCAACACCTTTCATGTTCTTTAAAGAACACATTTCTGTGTGGATTTTACTAAAAAATGTTGATTAAAGGCATAAAAGATGTAAATTTTTAGTTTCCACGGACTCTCAAGTTAACGAAATAACTCAACTTTGGCGGCCATTTTCTCACTAATTTTGCCTCTGAAACCAGGCAATGCCCACCTCCTTCAATCGCCAATATCTTTACTTGTATCCAAGATAAATGGATTCATCAAAAGCAAGGCGAATGGACAGGCTTTAAGATTATATCAATAACTTCATTTGCCCCAAAATTTACGAGCGCCTGATTCCACCGTGTCGTGACACATATATTTTTAATGTAATCGATGAAAATTTGTCACTTTTAGACAATCTTTGGAAGCAATATTTGTGCAGTAGGAATATCACATTTTAAATTTCTTCACAATTGCTCTAGAAGAACTCCTGA